TCACATACACAGTGACATTAGAACAATGGAAGATCTGTGCTGAGAGTCAAGGAAGGTGTGAATGTGTGTCTTTTATATTTGCAGGTCAGTCAATGTGTGGGATATTTTGTATAGATATGGCAGGCATTTCTGAAAGTTGTAATACTGAGGTTTGGCCTGACTTGGATCTGAGCAACTCTGAGTGAGCAAATGCAAATGTGCCAGGCCTCAAGGATAATGGGTGGTTTGCACAACAAAAGCTGGAGGAGAAACAAGCTGACGACCTGTGAAAATCTCAGCAGGGATGCTTAACACCTTGGGACTTGCACCAGAAAATAAAAAAGCCAGTAATTCTAGTAGATGTTGGGTTTAGGGAAGTTACGCAAATTTGCGCAGGTTTAGTAAACCTAGTGCTAGTCTATGTATCAAATTCACCCTACTAATGGCTTGGACAAGATGACAAACAGAAACACATGCTTATATGCTGTCTGGTCTTCATGAACTTCATTGCATGTGTGTATGTGTTAGTAGAATTAATGCATTTTTATGTTTGTGTAATTTTTGTGTACCTCTCCTCTTTGCGGTGCTCCAGACACTTTTTCAATTCTCCATGCAAGGCAGTCGTTTTTTTTCTTCCCAGTTTCCTAAGCCTAAATATCATTTCCCACACTAAAACAGCCTTCCTCCAAGTTCTCACCTGCTCCTCTCACTCCATTCTTCTCTCCCACTTTGCAGTCCAATGGCAGTCAGTTCTCTTCAGCTTTGTCCTGTGTTTTCCGACTGTCTCATCTTGCCATTCCACTCCAAACGTGGCAAATGTCACTCAGACAGTCTCCTCAAAAGTCATCTTCACACACAGTAAAGTTGCAGCTTGCTGGAAACGCATCTCCATCCATCCATGATGATGGGTTTTCTTTCTCTCTGATGCCGTTTGCACACACTGCTGCTGGACCTTCCTGCTCAGGACTCTGCTGTTGTCTCTTGGCCTTCTGTCAACCGTTGATGTTCATGCCTGTGCTTCTGGAACTGCATTCCTTGTCTTCAGACAGAGATTAGCTTCTGTGAAGCTTGTTTTCTCAGGGTGAGGAACACATGGGAGTTAAGCTGTAAACACCACTCAGCCAAAACTCGGCCTGAGTGTTTTCTAATTATGTTTGACCTATAATTTTCCTCCAACTGCTGCATGTGGAAATTTGATTCAGGTCTGCTCTTCACTTGAAGTGACAAACTAAGACATTTTCATTATTCTCATCACTGCTTAAACAACACACATCTCTGTCTCTGGTTTTTGAACTCTCATTTCTTAAAAACAGAAAGTGAGATTGTAATCATCTCTGCCCCAGCTGGAGACCGCTTCGCACACACCTCTCTGTGGCTCACACACACAGTGACGTCCTCCTCGGTGGACACGATGTGTTGGGATCCAGCTCAAAGGACCAAATAAACGTTTGGGTCTGGGCTTCCACAGGCCCCACTGGTTTAGAAACGTATTCCTCATGAAGAAAGCAACACAATGACGGAACCGGGTTTTACTTGCTAGCAAGGGAGACTGGTCAGAACCAGGCTCTTGGAGCTGAATGCTCCTCACCTGTCTCCTAGCCAGCATCAAATAAACAGCCTTCCTTGCCGCCTTTTATTGAAA